TATTTAAATTAAAGGTTCATCATTACTCTCATTAATTATTGCTTCCCTATATTAACCTGCAAAGCTTGTCTATAAATTGGTTTTAATCATAAGTATCCTCAAGTATTTACAGTTATTGCAAGTTTATTAAATGGATTTGCACAATTTACTTGATTACCTTCAATGGCAACATTCACCTTTCCAGGTAAAGAGAAGCCATTTTCTTAATGATAATTGTCATCATCATTACCATCAAAATGGAACATTTAAATATGGAAATTAAGTTTATGCCTTTTTTTGTTGCTGGTTAAAACTATTTAGTTTGATTGCCAGGGAAAATGTTGCTATAATGAGCTCGCCAGTTTATGTGAACTTGATTGGTCTTCTTGGGTTTCAATGTGTGTCTTCAATCTAGCTAATCACATTGGGTTCACCAGAGGTGAATAAGGATTGAATGAGGAAAGAGCAACAATAGTTGATGGATCGTGTTCAAGTTATCATTATGTTATTATAAAGTTGGGAGTGAAAGTGAATTCTGGTCAAGAGAGATTTCCTATTTTCTATTTATATATTAATCTTTCCCGTTGGCCTATTGATTAAGCTAATAGTGGATCAACATTGGAGAAAGAAAATTGATGATAATTTTTTCTCATCATTTTTCCATTTCTTCTCTTCTTCTTCTTCATCATCATCTTCCTTTTCTCAGTTATCTTGTCTATTTATCCGAGTTGAACATTAATACCAACCCTTGGAAGGTGATAATAATAATAAAGTAAATAACATTTTGTTTCCCATCAAATTGATAACATTTTTTTCCCTTTTTTTGCTGCTCTTCTTTACACTTTTGTTCCCATAAACAACGCCTTTAATTGAGGATAATGAAGCGCATCACTCGCTTAACACATTATGATTAAATGATAAGTCTACAGGAAAATCACAGTCTTGTATTAAACCATTAAACCTACTGGTATTAGCTAGGTACGCGTGTGTAAAGTTACTAACAGCTTCGATTCAATTTTTTAGTCTTTCCATGTTCAATAGGTTGCAGCTAAATTGATGGCCGCTTTTACAAGCTCAACATTTTACTTGCATCTTGTGTGTCTTTATTACTGAGTGATACTTCATCACTCTGATTAGCTCACAATTAAAATATAATCATTTTGTTGGAAAAATGTTGATCAATTTTGAGACTTTGATTGCTCGCAAGGTAAAATCGCTAATAGTTTCAGTTGATTACAAGTATTGGGTTTACTATTGAGTAAACCTTTTGTTTACCCAAGTTTAATGCCATCAAAGTTCAGATCAAAGTCTTGATTGATTCAGAGTAAAGTTATTGAAAACTTGTTAAAAATTGTTACAGTTGACAGCAAAAATTTCTTAAAAAATATTTGAATATTATTCAGTTTATCTTCTAGTTTTGTTGTCATTAATTGTTGAGTTTTAAGTTGACTGAGTTCAATGAAAAGCTTTTCATTTTCAAATGCGCTTACCTGTTCAAGACCTGGAAAGATACTTTTGATGAGGAAAATTGATTCAACTTTAAAACTTGACTCTACATGAATGACATTTATTGTCCATTTAAACCTGAAAAATGACGTCTCACTCCTATTTTTGGTTATTGAAATATTTTCATCTTTTCTTGCCATTTTTCAACCTTCATTTCAATTTCATTGACAATTTATTCACTGTTTTCCTTGCAATTCTGTGTAAAGAAGGAAAGATTAATTTGTAATTGTCTGAAGATGTGAGATAGAGACGATTATTGATATAATGTTTAACAACAATGAGATCACAGGAAGAAAAAAAAAGATGATCCAGAACATGACATTGATTTGAGAGAGAAAATGTTTCATCTTTTGATTGAGTGTGTTTGTGTTGATGATAACAAATGTGATTAGATGAGAAAAGAAGAGAGAAAGTTTCAGTCTTCTCTCAGGGATCATCGTCATTATCATCTTTATTTTGTTGGTAGACAAAAAAGGGGCAGATGGGAGATGAAGAAGATATCTGTCTTGTCTTGCTCACAAATATCATCCAAATAATAATATTATTATTGAGAGTAAAAAAAAAGATGAAGAGAAAAATGTTAAGCTTATTCTGTAATAATAATGATAATAGGAAAACAAAGTGACTGTATTCAGCTTTTGTCATCTTTATCTTTTGCTTTACCTTATTGCCATTGATATGTCCGGTTTACATTGGGACTGTCAAACTGATGATACAGTTTTGGATACACAAAAAAGGCCCAAAGACTAAACGGATAAAAAAAAGGCCGAAAATCAGAATAATAATGAGAGAGAGAAAGATATGAAGATGAGCAAAGAAAAGAAGAAGGATGATGAAAAAGATATTCAATTGACAATAAGATGATAAACATAACATGTTTATGTATCTATTTATCGTTGACTGTGCAAAAAGAAAGACATTAAAGGTTATTATTGGACGAAGAAGAAGAAGCAACGGCGACAATGATGATAATGATAATAAATATATCTACATGAATACATCAGTGTAAATGAAAGCAAACACGGACTAAATACTGGCAATGAAAATGGACGGACAAAAAAACACGAATCCACAAAAGAGTAACCAAAATGTTGAACAACGGAGGAGCAAATTTTTATCGCCATTGTAAGAGAAAGAGAGAGAGAGAAAGAAAAGTGCGCTAAAAAGATGATAGAGATGAAGACGAGGAAGACAGGAAAAGATGAAAAGGTGAACGTTGAATAGGAAGAATCATGAAAAGAAGATCATCTCTCTGTGGGGCTTTTTGCTCTCTTTGCTCTTCTTCTTCTTCTTCTTGTGTCTCCCTTTGCACCCGAAATCATCATAATCATCATCTTGACAGTGACTATCTTTTTGTTTGGTGGACCAACAAAGAAGCTCCAAAATATTTATTACAATGTAACCTTTCTGTGTGTGTGTGTGTGTGTTTGGCCCACCTAGGGTTACTTGTATTTAGTTAAATAAAAGGAGACAGATAAATAAATAACAAAACATAAACAAGAAGAAGAAGAAGATGAGGATGAGAAAGGTAAGGTTAAAGGTTACAGGGTGAATATATGTGAAGGGCGATACTAAAGGTAACCCTTAAATATATATCTCTTTGGTTACCCTTTTATTTTTGGCCAGCTTTTTGAGTCCTTAATTTTGTGACTTGCAGGGCCAATTATTTGGTATCGTCAGTTTCACAGTTGAAATTGGGTGAACACAAAAAGTCAACCAGCAAACAAACAATGATAATGATTATCATGATGGTCAATGGTTTCTCTTGGTCAGTCTCTTCTTTTGCTTTTCTTATTCTTCTTCTTCGTCTTTTTACCCTTCAAAAGTCAAAACTCAATTCGTTCAGGTTTATTGCACATTTATAATCACAATGATAATCATTTTTCATTTGAGCCATTATTTTTTGAATAATTATTTGTGTGCCAAACATTTTTACCTGCTTTTTTACCTTCACTTTTCTTTCACTTTTTCAATTTTCTCAGAATTTTCTGTGTAAAGTTTTATTGGACATTTGGTTCATCTTTTTTCAGCTTCATTTTGTGTTGAATATTTTGATGATTTTGTTGTTTCGCTGCTTTACGCTATATAAGCTATCAATCTGAAAATTACAGTGAATTGTGATAATTATTTTTCAGATTTCTTCTTCTTTTTCTTGATCCTTTTGCTACCTTTCTTTGTTTTTGCTTAAAACATTCAACATGTTCTAATGTCTATTTTAATACTTGTAATGAAAGGTTTCAATTTTAACGATGCTCAAAGGTATTGCAAGTGATATGGTTTAGAGTAGGAAAATGAATGTAGGATGAAAAATCGTAAAGTTGAGTTTTTTATTTATTGTTTAACAATTATCTTTATTGTTAACATGATAATCATGGTAATGATTGACGAGGTTTTATGGGAGAAACTAAGATGCTCATTGCAATCAATTGAATTAACATAATTGAATTGTAAAATCATTTGTAAACGAATGGTCAACTTGGCTACATTTGATGGGAGGAAAGTGAATGCTTGGGTTGAAAAAATCTCAACTTATAGACTTGCAGTTGAGTTTTCATTTCACGCGTAAAAAGGTCTTTCATAAGTATCCTCTGATGCAATGAAAGTAAGTTACGTAGGTTGATAATTTGTTTCACGGATGGCCTAGGATTGTGGTAAAGAAATGGTGAAAATGATGAAAGTGAAGATGAGAAAGCAAAAGATGAAAATACCGATGACGAAGGAAAATGAAAATTGTTTGTAAGTATGCTCATAGAGGAGCTAATTTGATGCTACAAAAGTGATACACTTAGGTTAACAAAATTTGTTCCTTATGGTCTAATCACTCTAGGATTTTGTCAAAGAAATGTCAAAACAAAAGATGAAAATGAGAAAAATTTTGCTTGTGAAAAGTACCCTAATAGAGAAGGCAATTTGATGCCACGAAAGTGACTTTCTTAGGTTAACAAAATATCTTGCTTAGGGTGCTAATCAGACTAAGGTTTATGGGAAAAGTGATGAAGTTGATAAGAAAATTAAACATGAAAAGATGAAAAAATTGAAATGAAGGCGAAGATGAAAATGATAAATTATTTTTCTGGTGAAAAGTTAGCTCGAAAGTTTAATGAAATTGGTTGAATCGGCAAAATTGACTGACCATACCTGGTTGACAGAATAAATGAAGATACAAATGAAGATGAATTTTTTCGGTTAAATTATATCATTTCTGACCTTCAAGTGAAAGTAAAAGATAATAATATTATAATACAACAATTTTGTTTATCATAATAAAAGTAATAATTATGATGATGATGATGATGATAAAAAAAAACAAGTTGAAATTTTCACTTTTCAAGATGATGATATTATTATTTTTGAAAGAGAAAAGGATGAAGATGGAAATGAATATGAAGATAAATTGGTGAACCAATGGGAGAATGCACATTGAAAAAGAAAGAGAAGAAAGAGAAACTTGTAATAGAGTCAATTACGCATGAGAAGTTTATCTCTTTCTCTCTCTCTCTCTCTCTCTTTCTCTCTTCTGTTTCTCATCATCATCATAATCATCTTGGTATAAACTTTTCTTCTTCCAACAAGTAAAATAAGCAAAAAGTGGGTTGGAGGTTTACGTGAAGGTTGTTCCTCTTTTGCCTGTTTTCCCTCTCATCATCCTCATCATCATCATCTTACCTTTTACACTGTTTACTTGTGTTCAAATCATATTGAGTTGTTTTCATGTCTCAACACTGTACTGGTGACACTTTCAACGTAAAACACCGTTTGAACCTTTTTTTAGTCTAAATTGTGATTGTTTCACAGGTTCAAATTGATTCCTTGGTTTCATTACCAAACATGGTTTCAGCCGTATTTTCAACCACCAATCCAATCAAAAGTTTAAAATTTTCCATTGCCAACATTTTATCACCTGAATTTGGTAAACAAATTTGCCTACCAAGTTCACACAATGATAAAGATAAAACCAAATTTTCATCCTCATCCACTTGCTCCTCTTCATCTGGATCATCTTTAAAAAGTTCAAAGTGTTTAAGTTCATCTAAATCTCTATCATCTTCACCTTCATCCTGTTCACCGCCAATCTCAACTTCACTCAAATCAAATTCAAAATCGTTGACAAGCTCGTTAACACTGACAACAACGACAAGCAAACAATGTTTACCCTCATCAACGGCAAAAACATCACCTCTCTCGGGTTCAACTGTGCCCTGTATATTTTCACCCATTTCACTTTCATCCTCTTCATCACCACCTTCACCTTCATCTTTTGTTGCACTAAAGGAATCCATTTCCAATACCTTTTTAACCGCAACAACAACAACCACCGTCAACAATGTAAACAAAACCAATCATGTTAATAGTAACAAACGGAGACACAATGATCGTGATAGCCCTGAAAGTGAAAGACCTTCAAGTAATAAAAAAGTTCGCCATTCCTATGAAATCTCTGATTCAGAGTGTTCGTCAAATAGTTCATCATTAAACACCCAAGAAGGAAACAATTTATCTCTTTTATCGTCACCCAACTCATCCTTGCCCGCTTGGGTTTACTGTACTCGATACTCGGATAGACCGTCTTCAGGTGAGAAAAAAATTTCAACCTTTTTTTTTGCTTCTCTTCTCATTGTTCAAGTTTACCAAACATTCATCTGAAAGACTTTGAAAACTCATCAAGAAAAATCTTTTTCTTCCATTCACCTTAATCAGGTCCTAGATCAAGAAAGTTAAGAAAAAAGGAGAAAAAGTCTGATGAGAAAAGGCCTCGAACCGCCTTTACCGCCGAACAATTGCAACGATTGAAACAAGAGTTTCAAGATAATAGGTGAGTTTCAATCATTTTCAATATCAACTCATTTCAAAATTTACTTTCAACTTTAAAATCAAAATTAAACTGACCATTAACAGATTCAAATTGAAGTTCAATCCGATTTGCTCAACCAGCAAATTTAAATGCAATACAGTTACAATCATTCTCGTATGAACAGAACCATGAACAAAACCATCGTTTAAATGACCAAAACTCACTTTGATAAGACAAAAACTCTCGAGGTAAATACAATGCTGCTACTCAATTAGTTATGTAAAGAGGATCATCACTGCTTGTTCAATCAATTTCTATTTTCCCTGTAGATTTATAGTCAAATATAAAAAATTGACGGTTTTCTGTCCGTACACCACACTAACCCTTTAAACAAGCAAAACTTTATAAGGTTTTACAATAAGGTTCGGGCTAAAAAAAGATTTTAGCTTTTCTTTTATTTTAGTCAATGTTAAGGTGCAGAGTTTCATTTGTTTGGTTAATTTAATCACACCATATTAATATAAAGGTCCAATATTGAATTAATTGAATAGCGCTATTCAGATAACTTTCTGTGAAAATTTATCATCGTTAAGACGAACATATCTCTGGTTTTTTATGGATAACCTCATTGTTTTTTTACTTCGACCCAGTATGACATTTCCAACAGTTTTGAATTAATTAAGAAGTTAGTTTCTGTTTAGAGCTGTAAAACATGTTCAAGTTTTTGTTTGCTCAGAGGACGGTGAATGGACACTATACCTATGTAAGTTAACATACAACATGTCACCTTGTAAGAATGTTAACATGTTAACTGCACCAGAAAAGTACATTAGTAGTTAGGGTCGAGTTAAGAAAATCGGAAATTTTTGCATAGCCGCTAACCAGAAATAAAACTACCTTTAAGATCGAATTTAATTTTTCATAGTTTTCCATTGTTTAGTGTCTCTGAAAACTGTATATGCTTGAGAGGGCAAAACCTAAAAATTAACTTATGTCTGACTAGTTACAAATTAACGAAATAGTCTATGCACTAAATAAAGAAGCTCTTTAACGCGAAAGTTTTTGTCTTATGAAAGTGAGTTTTTGTTGGTTGTTGTTATGAAAACTCTGTGTCTTTACAGTCGCTCGGTTTTACTCTTTTCAATGTTGGTTTTGTTCATGTGAAATCTGGTTCTATTAAAACGATAATGAAAGTAATTATTATTAGCATTTGGCCAGACTGAATACATAATTGACATGATAAATTGACTGGAACTTGGAATCTAGTGAAAGAAAGAAAATCTATATTTTTCAATTGAAAAGACAATATTGATTTGTCAGATTGTTGGTGGTAAAATTAATATTGTAATTGGTTAAATTTACTATTAATCGATAATGAAAGGTAGAAAAGAATTGAAATTTTCGATGAAACATGAAAAAACGTTGAAAACATCATTTATCAATGAACCTAGTAGAGTGTCATTCAGGAGGAGCTTATTTGAAAAGCTTTCAACCAATAAGAGGAAAGTTTGAAGAGCAACAAAAGACTTTCAAAGTTATCTGTAAATGCCAACTGAAAATGGATGAAAACATGAAAATAAATGATTCAAGTTGTGGTCAATATGGAATGGTGATTTCATTTGAATAAAAATTTTGAAAGTTGAAAGTAAATTTGAAAGCATTCATTGACTCGAAGAAAAGTTTACTCATTTTTTGTGGATTTTTTATTTACTTGTTCAGATATTTAACCGAGAAACGTCGTCAAGATTTGGCTCGAGATTTAAAGTTGAACGAGTCACAAATTAAGATTTGGTTCCAGAATAAACGGGCAAAGATTAAGAAGGCCGGTGGTCAACGGAATCCATTGGCTTACCATTTAATGGCTCAAGGGTTGTATAATCATTCCACTGTATCAAAGAACGGTGATGAAAATGATGATGATGATGATGATGATATTGATTATTTGGAAGATGAAAAGCTAAGCAATTAACCAAATTTACCTTAAGTCAAGTCTCAATTCGCTTCTCATCACTTTTGTTCATCTCAACCTCTCATCATTGATTTTCCGATCAACTTCTCAAAATCATTCTTCATTCTTAATTTATTATTATTATTAATATGAATATTATTATCATTATGAATCTATTATTATTATTATTATTCAAGTATTGATTATACTTGTGTAAGTAAATATTGAACTGTTTAAGCAAAAATGTGCTACAAAAAAGTGGAAACACAAAAATGACCAAAAAAACAACAAATCAATCAACACAGAGAAATAAAAAGAAACACAAATTGATTCAATTAAACTGTCCATTCATTTCAATGCCAATTCCTCAATATACAGGTAAGTTGGTGAAACTTACACATTCCCTGTCCGTTCACCACACTAACCCGGTCCAAGTATTCAATTAATTTAATAGCGTTATTCAGATAAATTTCTGTGAACATTTGTCTTAAGACGAACATATCTCTGGTTTTTTATGGATAACCTCATTGTTTTTTACTTTGATCGAGTCGGCCCGGTATGACATTTCCAACTGTTTCAATTGATTAATCAATGAATGTAAATTAAGTTAGAAGCTAATTTCAGTTTTTGCTCAAAAAATAAGTGGGGGTGAACGGACACTATAACGTAAAGACAGAGTTTTCATAACAACAAAACCAACGTTCAAATGATCAAAACTCACTTTTATAAGACAAAAACTCTCGCGTTAAAGAGTTGCTCAGTACGTAGATAAGATTTATTGTAACTTTTGACTTTTGCTGTTTTGAGCTCAAACTAACTCTTGTTATAGTCTATGGTGAAGGTTGTCCTGTTCTCCTCTCACCCTCAACCTTATCTTACCTTTTCATAGTTCTGTTGACTTTGTTCGTTGCTTATTTAATCAAACAAACATGGTTTCATCGGTATTCCCACCCACTAACCCAATCAAAAGTTTAAAATTTTCAATTGCCAACATTTTATCACCTGAATTTTGTAAATCGACATTGCTAAATGAAATAAAGACAACAACCAACGTCATCAATGTGAACAATGGAAGCAAAAAACGGAGACACACCGAAAGTGAAAGCTCTGAAAGTGAAACATGTGCAAGGAAAAAAGTTTCCTGTGAAATATCTGATAGCGAATCTTCAAATAGCTCATCATTAAACACCCAAGAAGGAAACAGTTCATCTCTACTATCATCACCCAACTCATCCTTGCCCGCTTGGGTTTACTGTACTCGATACTCGGATAGACCGTCTTCAGGTAAGTGTAGAGATTTTTTCTCTCTTCTTTTTTTGTGATTCTCTTTTTGTTTACATTCTGTATCATCATTCACCTTAATCAGGTCCTAGATCGAGAAAGCTAAGAAAAAAGGAGAAAAAGTCTGATGAGAAAAGGCCTCGAACTGACTTTACCGCTGAACAATTGCAACGATTGAAACAAGAGTTTCAAGATAATAGGTGAGTTTCAATGTTTGCTAATTTGATGCGAGAAAATTTTACTCATTTGTTGGAGTTTTCATCTTTTTTTACATGTTCAGATATTTAACCGAGAAACGTCGTCAAGATTTGGCTCGAGATTTAAAGTTGAACGAGTCACAGATTAAGATTTGGTTCCAAAATAAGCGGGCAAAGATTAAGAAGGCCGGTGGTCAACGGAATCCATTGGCTTACCATTCAATGGCTCAAGGGTTGTATAATCATTCCACTGTACCAAAGCAAGTTGACGAAATCGATGGTGATGATATTGATTATGAAAAGCTAAGAAATTAACCAAATTTACCTTAATTCAAGTCTCAACATCTCATCATTGATTTCCCGATCAACTTCTCAAATCATTATTCTTTATTTTTAATTTATTATTACAATTCATGACGATTAGTTCATCATCACTTCAGTAAATGTTAACTTATGTGATTTACAATCTTCAGTGGAAATTGATTGGAAAAATTAGTGATAACCCTTTTTACATACTCTGCATAACTCTTTATTCAGCAATGCATCAGAATAAAAAGTAATTAACAATCAACGAAATAATCTTGTGTTCTGAATAAAGATGCTCTTTAACGCGAGAGTTTTTGTCTTATTAAAGTGAGTTTTGGTCATTTGAACGCTGGTTGCGCTGGTTTTGTTGCTATGAAAACTTTGTGTGATTTATAAATCTATTGAAATGTTTGATACCGAAATGGGTTTGAACAGAGTTAGTTTTGGGACCATAGGTTCATCGGACAAATTGAAAAATTTTATGATCGATAGTTTTCGATAAAATCACGTTCAAATTGAAACTTGGACTAATTTTTGTCAGTTATGAATACATAAAACAAAAAAACCAAAAAATTTTTCACCGAAATACATTGCTGCAAAATCATATGGATTCTGTATTTTTTCCGACACCTTGTTTAAACGTGAATTTCTCAGTAACCTGAATTCTGATTAACCTCTGACTATTTTTACATGTAGCAGCTACATTGTAGCTTAATTATGGCTTTCAGACTGTGCAAAAATTTTTCTTAGAATCCTTTCCGTTTAGTTACAATTTTTACACAAAAATTTCATGTTTTGACTTTATATTGTGGAGACTCAAGTATCGATTATACTTGTGCAAGTAAATATTGAACTGTTTAAGCAAAAATGTGCTACAAAAAGGTGAAAACAAAAAAATGAACAAGACAACAACAAATCAATCAACACAGAGAAATGAAAAGAAACACAAGTTGATTCAATTTGACTGTCCATTCAATGCTGCTTTTCATGTTACAGGTAAGTTGGTTTCTAGTTTACACATTTGATGAATGATTGATGGTTGAGGATTAACATTTGGTAAACATATAAGATTAAGGTCATTAAGAGGTCAGGTTATTGTTTAAATTATTGATCAAGATGATGATCTTTATTGAGTGTTGCATTCAAGTGTAAGGTTTATGTAAACCTTTTTTTATACTTTTTCTCGTTGCTACTCTTTCCATGTTAACAATCAAGAAATATAATTTATCGATAATGATGATGATGATAATTATCATTGATCAATAAGTTGTTGGAAAGATGAAAAACATTGTCAACTGATACAGTTCAGGATTAAGAAAAGAGAAGAAGAAGAAAGAAAAAAATTAGAACGAAAATAATAGTTTTAATGACAATAATGATAATATTGATGATGCCTGATGATAATCATCATTATTATTACCATTATCATCAATTAGAAACTTAATTAAATCTATCAAGAGACTTTGATTAATCGCTTTATTCCATTATTATTTTCTTTAACTTCTATTCAACCAATCATCAATACTTCTTTAATTGTCATCTTATCCTACTTTTCATCCTTTCATCATTATAATACCCTTTCACCCTTTATCTCATCACTTTGCCCCTTCAGTATAGAAAATTTCATTTCATGTCTATTTTTAACACTTGAATCATGAAAGTTCACACTTCATCAGATTCGAGATGAAAACTTTGGATTTACTAATTTTTTCATCGCCTAATCAACTTATCCTAACACAGCTTATTGTCGCAATTGATTTTTAGCTTGACTCTTTATTGATGTCATTGGGTTAACAAGATATCTTGAAATGAAAAGTCAACCCAAAACATTATCTTAAGAGTGATTTGATTGCAAGACAAACATTGCTCGTCGAGTGTAACTGTTGAACCGAGGTGAGTTTATTGATTGGCTTCAATGTTTCAGTCAATATCAAGCTATTTTACAAAGATTGCATCTTTGAAATTGATTAAAATCATTGAATTTATAAACTTAATTCATTCAATTTTCGGAAACTTTTTTCCCACTATAAGGCATTTTCAGTTGTCTTGTTTTGCCTCTTGCTATTTCATTTCAATTTGATTCAATTTTGTGGAAAGTTGAGGGTAAAATTGTGACAAGGTTATTTCAATTTCTAATGAGATTTTCAAACTTTGTAACCAACATTGACAGGTTAATTTAGATTTAACTAAGTTCATTTATTCATCATCATTATCTGTTTCATTTTGCTCCCAATCCACCAGTCAGGGTGAATGAAGAAAAGCAAAAAGATGAGCATAAAAATGAAAAGGTATTTTATCATTTTAACTAACATTCATTGAGCCAGGTAAGCCAGAGACTAGCCAAGGAAAAGTTTGTACAAACTAAAGCAACAGTATAAATCAAAGATGACTTAACAGATAACATAATTTTCCTGCCTTTTCATGTTCACATTTATAGACTTTCATAGGCTGTCCACCAAAATGGTAACCGTAAAGGTTGACGCTCTGCCGGTGGCCCAAGGTTCAATGTAGGTGCTACAATAACTAAACTTTGATCTGTTAATTAATCAGTTTCAATGTATACAGATTTTGTACTCTCGACTCTTCCCAATATCACTCCAACAATGTTTCAACGTTCAATTGAGTGGGCAAGCGTTTTGGCCAAAAAGATGAAATGCTAAACAAACTTTATCTTTTGATGATCAATTTGATTGTGAAGATGATGATGAGAAACAAATTTATTTTTACCATTTTCATCTCTTGTAATCTGATACTCAATGGTGGTGACAATTGAAACTAGTTTCCTTCATCATGATAATTCACTTTAAGATGCAAACTTGCATGATTGATTAAGAACTATGAAGGAAGAAATGTAATCATTTGAATTTGAAAAGGAAACATTTCATTGGATGAAATTGAATTATCACCAGAGATTAATTACTCAATTCAGTTAGTGAATAGTGCAAGTTATCAGTTAATCAAGAGAATTGTTTTTTTCTCGAGGATTATCATTATGATTACATGTTAATAACTGAGCGACGTAATTTCAATTGGTTCAATTAGGAATTGCAGGCAAGGAACACATTGAAATGAAAAGTGCTCAGAAGAAAAGGAAGAAAATAGGAAAAAGAAGAAGAAGAAAAAAGATAGAATTTAGTTTTTCTCTTTTTTTCACACGCAAACACTAATCATCCAATTCTCTGGTTCATATTATCATTATTAATAATATTATTATTACATTTTTTCTGGTTCAACATTTTGTCTGTTAACAGGTAATAATAACTGGTTCTAGAGAGGCTCAGGGTGAGGTTCTCACTCTCATCTCTCACTATTAACCAGGGGTTGGATGAAGGTAGGAAAAGGTGGGGGAAACCAAAAAATGAACTCAGTCTGGTTATCATTTTGGATGTGCAAAAAGACCAGGTAAAAGGGCAGCTGAAAACAAAAGGTATAACCTAAGTGAGTTGAGCGAAACAAAAAAGGTAACAATCAAATTGCTTTCATACTAAAGTTGCCTTTCGTTTTTTTTCCTCTCTCTCTCTTGGCTTACCTTTTGCCTTATAGAACTGTGATGAGCAAAAAAACTAGACATTGATAATGATTAGGAGGATACACAGCGCCTTAGGCAAGCCAACAATGGAGCCTTGAGCATTCATATTCACCCATCTAGAGTTGAACAACGAAATGGACCCAAGGGTGCTACAGAGAGCAAAAGAAGAGAAGAAAAGTTGCAAAAATTGATTGCTATTTTTGATTCTTTTTACTTCTATTTTTTTATCTTCTTCTCTCTTCTTCTCTTTTTCACCAAATTACCTTGACCCTTGAATACAAAACCGCAAGGTCATCATCATTACTCTTGACCATTGGAGGTTCAACATATTGTCTAGTTATCCAGTGAACAATCAATCGACCTCATTATGCGTTTTTTTATCGCTCACATAATAAAACAATAATTGGGTGAACAAATGATGGACAAAAGTGGTGATGAAAAGAGCCGCGATCCAATTGACCAAGACGATGCTTTTTATAGTTCGCATCGGGTTATTTTTCATCGTTATTGTAAAATGTTCCCTGTCCGTTCAACAAAAACCTTCGACCAGAGAAATTTTTTAGTTCTACAAATGTTTCCGTTTCTTATGTCTCTAAAAGTCTATTAGGTCACAACTCGTAACTTTAATTCAATTATCTAGCTTTAATTTATTCTTCGCTATCTCGCCTTTCTCTGATCTTCTGTGCTTTGGCTAGCGCACTTTGCTAATTTCACCCTTTACCAAAGTTTAATTTTGTGATTTTAAATGTTTCAAAATTAAAGCTCAGTGAATATTATCAGATTGAATTTGCATTATTATTGCATCAATAAATGTTGATCCTTGAATACCAAATTGATTTCACCCATGATATACATTTTGAATAACATTAAACATGCATTGTTGGTCAATCTTGAAAACAGTAAAAATTGATAATCTTTAGTGTTACCATGCAACCAATTACTTGTTCATCTTATTGATTGAAAAATGAGCTTTTGTCTTTTCTTGCTTATTATACATTTTAACTCAATAATAGGTTTATAATTTTGTAGCTTAACATTTGGGTGGAGTTTACCTGAGCTTAAATTTGACACCCAGGCTGCTAATCTTACAAGATATATTAACGTATTAACACTCCAAGTGAAGGAAGAGATAAAAATAACACAATTTTTAAACCTTATTTATCTCACAGAGAGAATGATAATAACAGCAAGAATAATAATGATAATAAAAAAAAGTAAAGGTAAAGCAAAAAGGAAAAGTAAAAGGTGAAAATAATCATCTAAAACAGTTTTTCTTACCAGGTAATATCATCCTCTTCAGGTTCATCCTGATGAAAAGTGAGCTTTCCCAGTTTCTTTTCTTGCAATAATAATTCTTTCAACATGATGACAATTAACAAAAGTTGTAAAAAAAGAAGAAAATTGAAAGAATTTAAAACTTTTCTCAACTTTACCTGCAAACATTGGATGATAAAACATAGTCAAATGTTCAATGTTAAGTCTTAATTAAATGAGATTGTCCCTTTAGGCCTTTTCAGGTAAAATTTATCTGCACTTTTGGGCTTTTAATGACCAATGTTTGAATGCTTTATTTTACCATTTCGTTCAACATTGAACACCTTCTTACCAATCACACAATTATTATGATTCAATATAAATATCATGAGGTTCACCTGGCACTTTGTTGATGGCTCAAACGTTAATCCCTTCAATTGGAAACCAGAAACATGAGTGAAACATTGAGTGTTCAACTGTCATCAGATGACATTGTTTACATTGAATACTGAAATAATTAACCAATTTAGATTTTCAGATTTGTAAAGATGGAAACGCACCTTG